CTGTGAACTGGGGGTACATCAAATATATCTTTCTTATTATGCCCTAGTCCCCTGGCCATGAATCCCTTAGTGAGAAGATTATAAAAGCCAAAATATACTGGCACATTCCTAGAATTCCATTCAGCCATCAGAAATTAGTCCAGTCCATCATTCTGTCATATGAAAATACCTCCGAGGGCAAGGCCACTCAGGTTTGCCAGCTTCTGTTGAATCTCGCCAGGAGTGGCTTAGCAATATATGACTTCACCCTTTTGGAAGTCTGGTGTAATGGAGCTAAGAGACAATGTCATCTCCTGTTCTGAGCCTTTTTTGAGCTGTTAATGTAATACTGGATTTCCCTCATGACTCATGACATAACCCAATTATTCACTCCTTCAGCCTCAGTTACTGTTCCTCCATCTCTCCATTTATGACCAAACTTTTCCACCTTTGGAAGAGACATTAGATTCCTTCATTGTGCCGCTCTAGACTTCAGGCAGTAATACTAGTCTAGTATTATTACTAGACTACCAGTAATAGTCTAGCAAGTACTTCTTGCTCAGTCTGCTTCCATTCAAATAGAGTAAGTTTACATAGGTACAGAACTACCCAGGCAATATACCTGCATTCACTGTTAACCGCAATTTTGCCAGTTGGGATGAAGGCATAACCTGCCCCATCAGGCCCTTAGGAATTCTGACATCATTTTAAAGTATAATTTGGGTTTTTTGCTTACGAAGCATCCCTGCTTCCAACACCAGCAATTGCATCTCTGCATGAGGAATAAAAAAAGAAAGTTGAGGTGCTGTGCAGAAGACTTGCATCATCACACCAGCATCCTCTCCTGCCCCTCTCCTCTTATCCCCCTGCAAAGCAGAGAAATCTGTCCAGTGGGGGACCCTCCCTTAGCCCTCTCATGTTGGGTGTGAAGGCATGTAAGCCAGCCTTCAATGCTTTTGTCTCCCCCCATTTTAGACAGCAAATGTTTTAACTGCCCATTCCTTCCTATTCTTATGGAATTGTTACTCTAAGGATAATGTGCACCATTATACGTCCATTTGATGTGAACTATCTTTGCTCACTTTTGGACATGGTGGGTTATAAAATGTGTCCTTTGATCTGAAGAAATATAACTTGGTGGTCCAAATTAGTACAATATTTTCTGTTCCTATCCTGTAATAATATTTTAAGCATTTGCGTCTACCACTGGGTCTACAAAGCCCAGCCCGGGGTAAGTGTCTATTTCTGTTAGGACCCTGGTCTAGCCCCTCAGGGCTACTGGCATTGGTTGCTCCCATGTAATCCACTTACCAGCTATGCGCAGGGTGCCTACCCCAGGGAAATCTGGCCCATAGACATCTGCAGTCTCTGGCTCTCTTTTTGGCATTTTATGTCTGAGAGTGCAAGAGGAATAGGTCTAGGCTTAGCCCGTCTCTACATGGCTGCAACACCAACCCCCATGCCCGCTCATTTTATGAGCCCCAGTGGCTACCACAAGAGAGCACACCAAAAGTTCCGCTTGATGGTTCCAGTAATATTCCAATACATATTCTTATTTATTCTTGCTGTATTTGATCTGCCTCGGACTGATATCACCTATTGTGTTTCTATGTATTTCTTGTTGCATCTTCTATAATTTCTTTATCAAGATAGTTGCTCTTTCCTTTTTCCTTCAGAACTTAGTAAGGTTTGCATTTTGGTAATTGTCTTTGTACTTATACATTGTTAATGCCCTGAATCCCTGTTTTGTATTTTTTTTCTTTTATTTATTTATTTATTTATTCATTTATTCATTTATTTATTGGTATTTTTAATAGAGACGGGGTTTCACCATGTTGGTGAGGCTGGTCTCGAACTCCTGACCTCAAGTGATTCACCCGCCTCGGCCTCCCCAAAGTACTGGGATTAGAGGCATGAGGCACCATGCCTGGCCTGAATTCCTGTTATCTTATTTAACCTTTCATTATCTCATTATTCAGTTTTTAATGGCCTTCTTTCACTCCCAACTATTACCTGAATCATACTCAATGAGCTTATTCTCTTTGGTCTGTACTCCCTCTCACATTTTTAGTTGCATTATTTCTAGCGTGTCCTATAAAATGCATATATGATTTTTTCACTCTTCTTTTACTTTTATTTTCATCCTAGATCTGATAAATCTATTAAATGTGCACCCTCTATATTTTTGCTTCAGTTTCCCTAGTGATTTCTTGGACGAACGAGTCACATCCTCTGGAAGATTGCTGAAGAAGAGCTGATGTGCACAGTACCCCCTGCGTTCTTATGTGTTTCAAACTGTTCCTCTATAGCCTTGATACTTGAGGGAGAGCTGGACTGGACATGAGATGCTAGGTTCATATTTTAATTTCTGATTTCAGACGCTTTTCCATCCTCGGATGCTTGATTTAGAACATTTAATTCACACAGCACTGGTGTTTCGTGGTTTTCTGCACTTTATTTCGCCAGAGGCATTTTCTCAAGATGGTTTTTTTTTTTTTTTTTTTTTTTTTTTTTTTTTTTTTGAGACAGAGTCTCGCTCTGTCGCCCGGGTTGGAGTGCAGTGGCCGGACCTCAGCTCACTGCAAGCTCCGCCTCCCGGGTTTACGCCATTCTCCTGCCTCAGCCTCCCGAGTAGCTGGGACTACAGGCGCCTGCCACCTCGCCCGGCTAGTTTTTTGTATTTTTTAGTAGAGACGGGGTTTCACCATGTTAGCCAGGATGGTCTCGATCTCCTGACCTCGTGATCCGCCCGTCTCGGCCTCCCAAAGTGCTGGGATTACAGGCTTGAGCCACAGCGCCCGGCCAAGATGGTTTTTTAAATTCTTGTTTTCCACTTTATTTTTGTTGTTGTTGTTGTTGATTTTATTTTTTTAAGTTCTGGGATACATGTACAGGATGTTACATAGGTAAATGTGTACCATGGTGGTTTGCTGCACCTATCAACCCATCACCTAGGTATTAAGCCCAGCATGCATTAGCTATTTTCCCTGATGCTCTCTTTCTCCCGACAACCCCACAACAGGCCCCAGTGTTATATAGTTCCCCTTCCTGTGTCTGTGTGTTCTTAATGTTCAGCTCCCACTTATAAGTGAGAACATGCAGTGTTTGGTTTTTTGTTCTTGTATTAGTTTGCTGAAGATAATGGCTTCCAGCTTCATCCATGTCCCTGCAAAGGAAATGATCTCATTCCTTTTTATGGCTGCATAGTATTCCAACGTGTATATGTACCACATTTTCTTTATCCAGTCTATCATTGATGGGCATTTGGGTTGATTCCATGTCTTTGCTATTGTGAACAGTGCTGCAATGAACATATGTGTGCATGTGTCTTTATAACAGAATGATTTATATTCCTTTGAGTGTACACCCAGTAATGGGATTGCTGGGTCAAATGGTATTTCTGGTTCCAAATCTTTGAGGAACCACCACACTGTCTTGCACAGTGGTTGAACTAATTTACACTCCCACCAACAGCGTGAAAGCTTTCCTATTTCTCCACAACCTTGCCAGCATCTGTTGTTTCTTGACTTTTTAATAATCACCATTCTGACTGGCATGAGATGGTATCTCATTGTTCTTTATTTTATAGTAATTTGATATAGATTTAGGTTGCTTTTATTTCATGGATTTATAGTATTTACAAGCCTCCTAGTTTAACAGAATTCTGTGACTGTAACTCTCTCTTTACCTTTTTATTTTATTATTATTTGGGAGTGAAAGTGAGAGAGGTTGTGTGTCTTCCAATTTTTCGTATCTCTTTTTTTCTTGCAGGACCTGAAATTTCCCACCTTTTGCTTCCTCCTTGTTTTACCACCCAGTTTCCAAAGGGCGTTTCTCCCTTCTCTCTTTCTTTGTATCCTTTTCTGCCTGAAGCGATGCCTTCCAGACTGCCACCTTGAATTGTGCACAGGCACAAGGCTGGGACTTAGGGGTCCCATTGTCATTGTCAGTGCTGTGACTCACCAGGAATCTTTACAGTATTTTATGCAAAAAATTTGACATTCTTTCCACTAAGGCCTCCAATCAATCTTTGACTCCATTGACACTTCCCTCTTCTCTCTTCCATACTGTTTTCCCAGGGCTTGTGGCCACAGTGTGACATTCAGCTCTGCTGGGATTTGGTGTTAACATTTTTTACTTACAGATGATCTGAAGATTGTAGGATTCTCTATCTTCTAGCTACACCGAGGTTGTGGGTTTGGTGTAGTTTTGCTTATTCTTCTTGCTGGTCTGTGTGGCTTTATGGTGGTCATTGCACTCATCTAGGCCACCTCTTTCCGAATGGTACTTAGGCACAACTGGAGAACAAGTATTGTTTTCTGCAGGGTTACAGTCATCCTGGAGATGCAGAAAGATCTGAGAGAGAGACAGCTGGTGCCCTCTTTGCATATGAGAAAGCCATTCAGTTATCTGAGGCACACATTTATCTAGGACATAGAACTTTCAGGGCAAAAACAACAATCAAAGAAATAAATCCAGGCATTTGATTTGAAGAACTCAATTGCATTCAGATTTGCATTTATACTGAGTGTCAGGGAATATAAAATAAAAATATCATACTAAGCATTGCCTATTACATTCAAGTACTTTCAGATTTGTCATTCACCCAGCAACCTTATAAGTAGTGATGATTTTATCATACAATTATTTCTACACTTGACAGATGAGGGAGGAAGACTCAGAGGGACTCACTCACATGCTCTTCTGGTTGCAAAGTTGATTTGAGTGGGGCCAGGAGTGAAGCCCAAATCCCCTGGCTGAAAGGACAGTGCCATTTTCAGCACCATGTTTAGTCATAGATGTTTTCACGAATGTGATCTTCCCCCCGCCCCCCGCAATTTTCTGTTGTTTAATCACTTGTAACCTAAGGCCACTCTGTGATAACAAATGACTAGGGGAAAATGCTTTTGAGTGTCATATTTTTCATTGATTAACTCTGGAAAAACAATGTAAGTTGCTTGTCCAGATAAGTAGAAAATCTTTTCTCCACTAATGATTCACTTTCTTCTCTCTTTTCACAGAGGACAGTTATGGGATGGATGGGAAGGTTAATCAGCCCCGTCTCACTGCAGACATCAACTGGCAAGGCCTAGAAGAGCTACACAGTGTGAATGAAAACATCTATGAGTACAGACAAAACTACAGACTTAGTCTGGTGGACTGGACTAATTACTTGAAGGATGTAGATAGAGTATTTGCACTGCTGAAGAGTCACTATGAGCAAAATAAAACAAATAAGACTCAAACTGCTCAAAGTGATGGGTTCCTGGGTGTCTCTGCCGAGCACTCTGTGTCAGTGGAGACGGCCTCTGCTGACTCAGATGAAGACCCAAGGCATACGGTTGGGAAAACACCTCATTTGACCTTGCCAGCCGACCTTCGAACCCTGCATTTGAACCGACCAACATTAAGTCCAGAGAGTAAACCTGAATGGAACAACGACATTCCAGAAGTTAATCGTTTGAATTCTGAACACTGGAGAAAAACTGAAAAATGGATGGGACATGAAGGGACCAATCATCTGGAAACCGATTTCAGTGGCGATGGCATGACAGAGCTAGAGCTGAGGCCCAGCCCCAGGCTGCAGCCCATTCGCAGGCACCCGAAAGAACTTCCCCAGGATGGTGGTCCTGGAGAGGACGTTTTTGAAGATCAGCTGTATCTTCCCGTGCATTCCGATGGAATTTCAGTTCATCAGATGTTCACCATGGTCACTGCAGAACACCCAAGTAATTCCAGCACAATGGGGAAGATGTTGACCAAGGTGGAGAAGAATCACGAAAAGAAGAAGTCACAGCACCTAGAAGGCAGTGTCTCCTCTTCACTCTCCTCTGATTAGATGAAATTGTTACCTTACCCTAAACACAGTATTTCTTTTTAACTTTTTTATTTGTAAACTAATAAAGGTAATCCTAGCCACCAACATTCCAAGCTACCTTGAGTACCTTTGTGCAGTAGAAGCTGGTGAGCATGTGAGCGAGCAATGTGCACACGGAGACTCATCGTTATCATTTACTATCTGCCAAGAGTAGAAAGAAAGGCTGGGGATATTTCGGTTGGTTTGGTTTTGATTTCTTACTTGTTTGTTTGTTTTATACTGAAACAGTATTATCTTTTGAATATCGTAGGGACATAAGTATATACATGTTATCCAGTCAAGATGGCTAGAATGGTGCCTTTCTGAGTGTCTAAAACTTGACACCCCCTGGTAAATCTTTCAACACACTTCCACTGCCTGCGTAATGAAGTTTTGATTCATTTTTAACCACTGGAATTTTTCAATGCCGTCATTTTCAGTTCGATGATTTTGCACTTTGAGATTAAAATGCCATGTCTATTTGATTAGTCTTATTTTTTATTTGTACAGGCTTCTCAGTCTCACTGTTGGCTGTCATTGTGACAAAGTCAAATAAACCCCCAAGGATGACACACAGTATGGATCACATATTGTTTGACATTAAACTTTTGCCAGAAAATGTTGCATGTGTTTTACCTCGACTTGCTAAAATCGATTAGCAGAAAGGCATGGCTAATAATGTTGGTGGTGAAAATAAATAAATAAGTAAACAAAATGAAGATTGCCTGCTCTCTCTGTGCCTAGCCTCAAAGCGTTCATCATACATCATACCTTTAAGATTGCTATATTTTGGGTTATTTTCTTGACAGGAGAAAAAGATCTAAAGACCTTTTATTTTCATCTTTATTTGGTTTTCTTGGCATGGTTAAGAAGCTTAAATGTTGACAAAATATGGTTAGTTTTGAATTTACACCAGGAACTTCTCAATAAAAAGCATGAATGTGCTACAATTTCAACATACCACAAGGGAAGTTAATTTCTTAACCTTGTGTTCTATGATTATTTGTAAGGCCTTCACCAAGTTCTGATATCGTTTAAAGACATAGTTCAAAATTGCTTTCGAAAATCTGTATTCTTGAAAATATTCTTGTTGTGTATTAGATTTTTAAATACCAGCTAAAGGATTACCTCACTGAGTCATCAGTATCCTCCTATTCCTATTCACCTTCCCAAGAAGATGTGTTTTTGCTTACCCTAAGAGAGGTTTTCTTCTTATTTTTAGATAATTCAAGTGCTTAGATAAATTTTGTTTTCTTTAAGTGTTTATGGTAAACTCTTTGAAAGAAAATTTAATATGTTATAGCTGAATCTTTTTGGTGACTTTAAATCTTTATCATAGACTCTGTACATATGTTCAAATTAGCTGCTTACCTGATGTGTGTATCATCGGTGGGATGACAGAACAAACATATTTATGATCATGAATGATGTGCTTTGTAAAAAGATTTCAAGTTGTTAGGAAGCATACTGTGTTTTTTAATCATGTATAATATTCTGTGATACTTTTATAGAACAATTCTGGCTTCAGGAAAGTCTAGAAGCAATATTTCTTCAAATAAAAGGTGTTTAAACTTTTTCTGTTTCAGAGAAATGAACTTAACCAAGTTTTTGTGGTACACCCATTCCTTGTAAGTAAAATTGAGTCCTGACCTCTATTTATATGATTGAATATTAGCCAGACTTATAAAACAGAGCTGAAGTCAGTGTGTTACAGAACATTGTCAGATTAATGACTTCACCATGAATTTACTTCATTGCTGTCTTGGGGGAGGCAGCACTGAGGTAGCTTTCCCGGCAGGCAACCTAGATGGTCACAAAGACCCAGCACTTGGTTTAATGCTCTGATGTCACCACCTTGAAATTCTTAATAATTTTTTAACAAGAGGCCCTACATTTTCATTTTCCACAGGGGCCCTGCAAATTAGGTCCGGGCAGAACCAAAAATGGTTCTGGGCAGTAAAATGGAATTTTTCAAAACCAAGGGAACAGACTCACCGAAGGCAGTGTGGGTTCTTCAGGAACCATGAACTTGGGTGGAAACTTAAATGCCTTTCAAGATCTCAAGTTTTCTGATACAGAAATTCCATATGCTTCCTTCTGCCTGTTCCAAATCTCCTGAAGAAATTTAGCTTTCAGGTTGAGGGGCTAAAAATCTGTGAAATGTCCAGAGATCAGAAGGTTACAAAAAAAAGAAGAAAAAAAAAGGAAAGCGCAAGGTCGGGGACCTACCGATCCAACCCTTGGATAATAGAGGAAACCAAGTTTTCATCAAGAGAACAGAGCCTAAGATAATAGCATTGTCATCCAAAGGTGCGTCTTGGTGCCTTGCTCCTTGTTCCCTTCTGTAAAATGTACCTGAGTCAAATATTACCATCCTGGAGAAAAATTCATTTTCCATTCAGTAGCTGCATATGGAGTACCTACTACGTGGCAAGGACATGAGAGAGACTGTGTGTCTCCCAGAGCTGTTTATTGGATCTTGAAAGGACCTTAGAGATTGGCTGCCCACCTAGCCTCATTTGATCTGCCAGGAAGCTGAGGCTCAGAAGAGCCGAGTGACTTCCCTAGACGTAAAAGAAGAAGAGATCTCTCAGAGGCCAGGCCTCTCCGTTTTCTCCATTTAAACTCATATGCATATATACCAATGTGTGTGAGGCACACAAGCATGCACCCCCACCCCCCCCCCACACACACACACACACTTACCAGAACCGGGAAGAGAGGGCATCGTGGGGCCCCATCTGCAAGGACTAGTGGAAAGAACTATGAACATGAAACTCAGTAAGACCCAAGTTAACTTCAAATGCTACTTTTTACTGTTTCTGTTAGCTTGGAAAAGTCACACAACCTCTCTAAAACAACTTTCTCGACTGCAAAATAAGACATTTGGGTCAAGGATGGCAAATACATAGCATGTGTGACTTCTTTTCCCAAAATACCCCCAGGAAGACATTGCTAATCCAATGGGACACTCATCCACTAAGCTAGAGCATTGGTGGCCTTACAGGCCTTCTCAACACAGCCAACTACTTCTCCAGCCAGCTCTGCTGTTGAATAAGCATTGGCGTGCGAGACGAAAACCAATGGTCCCTACCCAAATGAGATGATTTCTGAGACCCTCCCTGCCTTTAAAAAATAACCAAACAAACCTGTGATCGGCAGCATGTGCAGTTCTTTGCTTCAGAGACAAGGAAGGAATACTTTATATTCCATCCCTTTGCCAAATATATCTCAATATGTTGGCTTTTTTTTTTTTTTAAGTATTTTAAATACTTATTTTTCAGCGCTCTTTTAAAACCCTCCATTCCCCAAATTAGTCCAATTCTGCCTGATATTTCTGAAATGTATTTAACAGAAAACCAAGATCTTCAGTTGATAATTAAAGTAAGTATTCATTAGGGCCATTAATACCTGACTATGCCCTACCAGCTGGGGCTTTTACGTCCCCAGGATTCATAGAAGCTGCTGTGAAAGCTGCCATAGTCCCCAACCCTCTTTCCCACCTCCTGCCTCTCCCAGCTCCGGTCACATTCCCACACTCACTGCCTGGGGAGTCTTCCACCGCCTTGGCTCAGCCTCCTCTCAGAAGCCTTCAGTGCTTCCCAATGCCCGCCGTGTTCTGGACTCTAAGCCACAAGAAGCCCCAGCCTCCCACCCAGCTCCTGCTCCCACTCCCGCTCCTGCTGCGGCTCCCGCCCCGCCTCACCTGTCTCTCAGCTGCTCCTGGGTTAGCGCCGCCTTCCCAGGCCAGAACTTTCACTTCTCATCTCCCCTCCTGTTTATAATATCTACCCCCAGCCCCACCTCAACCTGGAGAAATCTTGTCCATCCTTTAATTCCCATATCAGTTCGAAATTTAGCTTTTCTTTTTGTGTACACTTTCCTGGACTCACCGACCCCTGGAACTACTATCTCCCCTACTTGACACTCTTCCCCCCAGTAAGAAAATGCTGATGTTGTACCAAGTTTGCGGCCAATGGAAGAACAATCACTGGCCACACTTATCACCTCCCCCTTCCCCACTGCTGACCAAGAAACTGACCCTCATGTGACCATCGTTGGTTGTGGTCTAGTTAACTCACCTTTCCCTCAGTGGTGCTGTTGACACTGAGCACGTTGCCAGCACAGTACCTTGGGTCTTGTAGTGACCCCACTGCTGTGTGAAGTAAGTAGAGAGAATGACTTTTAAAAATCAAATTTTCTCTGTTGAGACTACAGAATCCCTGACCCCTCATATTGGGGGAATCACTACAGAAAGATAGGGGACAAAGGAATCCACACTACCTCACTCTTTAGCTGGCGAAGGTATTGCTTTCTTTCTAAATGTCCTCACATCTGTGGGCCTCCTTCCGAGACTCAGGTCCTGAATCTGCATCCACCACCGACCTCCCCATTCCTTCCCCGACGTTTCCCCACTTTCCAGCCCCAACAGGGCGGATGACTCAGACCTGGAGAGGAACCAACCCAACCTCTAGTAAGTTTCAGCTGGAGAGGGGTCATGGACCGACCCTGCCTCCCTCATCTGTTGCCCCATCACTAAGAGCGTCACCCCGTCAAGCCCAGGAACCAGAAGACACAAGATTAGTGTGTGTTTTCCAAAATGACCACTAGGTGGCAGTCTAGTTCAACTAAAGACATCTTTGCTTGGCTCCAGGACCTACCCCTGCAAAGCGGCTACTTTGATTTCTAAAGCAGCAGCGCTACCATGTTAACAAGAACACAGCTAGAACAACTTGATCCACGATGGCAGGCTTGCCCTTTCTTCAGTGCTTAGGATCTTAGCCATTCCAGCAGGCGAAAGTACAGTTTTTGCTTACTTCTGATTTATGTTTGTATTTTAAATTGGAACTGCCTCAAACTTTGACGTTTCAATTCGAAAGTGAGCACTGAATATCGATCTCCCTGCTTTCCAAAGTCTTTGTGCAATTAAAAACGTTTTTTAGCTCCCATATACTAAAGCAACAGAGGCCATCTCTGCCTAGCTGGCAAAAGAGTGGAACTGTATGCTTTTTAACAGCTCTTAAAACACCAAGATTGTACCAAGTCTGGTGCTAAAGGAAGGAAGACAAGTGACCATGTTCAAAACCTTTCCCTCTCCTCATTTCTTAAAAAGAAACGTTTTCTGGCCGGGCGCGGTGGCTCAAGCCTGTAATCCCAGCACTTTGGGAGGCCGAGACGGGTGGATCACGAGGTCAGGAGATCGAGACCATCCTGGCTAACACGGTGAAACCCCGTCTCTACTAAAAAATACAAAAAACTAGCCGGGCGTGGTGGCGGGCGCCTGTAGTCCCAGCTACTCGGGAGGCTGAGGCAGGAGAATGGCGTAAACCCGGGAGGCGGAGCTTGCTGTGAGCTGAGATCTGGCCACTGCACTCCAGCCTGGGCGACAGAGCGAGACTCCGTCTCAAAAAAAAAAAAAAAAAAGAAAAAAGAAACGTTTTCTAATGTGCCTATTTTAAAAGCCCAATACCGAGCACAGATCTACCTATATGCTGAAAGTGTGGGAAATTTAAGAAATTTAGCAGAAATCCTTTTGCCTACCTTATGCACACATAATTGAGCAGAAGATGGTAGATTCAGGCAGGGGTTACTACTTGCTCTTTGCCTAAAAGGCTGCCTTGGTGAATGCAGAAAACCATGGGGGGAAGTCAGCACTAACACCTATATTCCCTCCCCCAATAACTCATGTAGCTTAGACCACTGCTGCCCTTTAGGTGAGCAGTGGGGTGAGGGAATGAAAAGTGGAAATCAGTTATGCTGCTTTCCACCTACAAAGTGCTTGAGGCAGGATTCTAAATACACCCACCTTATCCTTCAGTCCGTGAGTTATGACTCCCTTACCTCTTTCTACCTCTCACTCCAAAGTTTTAGATGCCAGTGTGTTTAGAAAACTCCACTGCTAGTCAGGAGAGGCCTCCAGATCCAGGGGGTTTTTTCTCCCTAAGTGGATCTGAGCTCAAGTTCTTCTTCTTTTTAACTTAACATTTAAGTTCAGGAGTATGTGTGCAGGTTTCTTACTCTTGTCTCAGAGCAGTGGCTTCTGGGCCACTTTAGCAATGAATTATTAGTTTGCTATTCAGTAGCAAACTAAGAGATAGGAGGAAAGGAGCTTTTCAGTGCTTTGTTGACCAAGTTTTGATATTCACACCTTTGGAAATTATTCCAGTTTTTGGAGTAAGGAGTTGGACTTCTTTGGAAATTATTCTTAACCTATCAAAGTCAATCATGTGGCAAAGAATTATACCCACTGAATTATCATTTACTCCTCTGTATTTTCAGGATCTCAGGCTGTTAGGCAGAGCCATGAGACTAGTTAGGGCCAACGAAAGGGGAGAATAGACATATGGCACTTCCAGGCTGAGAAAGAGAAAAGCTCTCTTGCCATTCTCTGGGCATTTCCTTTCTTTGCCCCAGCAACCAAGATTAACCCTGAAAGTTCCAGATGGTGTCACTTCAAGATGGTGGAGCCTCTGTCAGCCTGGATCCCTGAAAGACTATGTGGAACAGAGCCTTAATAGATATGTAAGTGAATGAGAAACAGACCCGTGTGTTATGAAGCCATTGAGATGTGAGGTATATTTAAGTATAATTTAACAAATCACATTCAAGGTACATAGCTCTGTGTTCTGAAAGTCTGTTTTGAATACATAAGTGATGAATTACTTAAAATTATTACCTTTGGAGACTCAATTTAAAAAAACATGCTATGGCTCTTAAAACTATACTCCTAAAACCTTACACATAGAACATTCTGCTTCAAGGTAGAGTTAACAGTTAGGTACGGAGTTAATTTTGTAGGAGGGGTGGACAATTGCATCAATCTCATTGCTTCATCTCTTCAAACAACAAAGTTCTAGAAACAATTTCATTTCAGTCCAACACACTTTATTCATTTTTAACTTTTTTCTTAATTTTCAATAATCAAGTATTCAAGATGCTGTAAACCAAGATTTATTAGTACATCGACAATAGATTTCATTAAACACGTGGAAATTATACATCTTTTAAATTACCCTAAGAAGTCTCCAAATAAATATCATTTTAAAAATCTGAAAATCAAACTTCTTTATGCAACAATGCAAAACAGCCTTTCATCACAAACACACTTCTACACAAAACACACACACACACACAGAGAACACACGCTCCACTAAGAACCTAATGCCAGTTTAGTTGACACAGTATTACATTTCCTTAAACAAAAGAGTCAGAGCCTGACCTGCCTGTTTCACGATTCTAAATTAACATTTGGGGTTTGGGGTAGAGGTATGTATTTTAAGAAAAATGCCCATTATTTGGTACTACTCTTACCAATTATCAATTACCAATTGCCAGTAATTGGTACTAGTCTTGCCAATGATTCTTATTTTTCATTTCTAGATGGAAACTTTAAACCTCTTTTATTCACCCCTTTGGTTTAATGTGTTCCTGCAATTACTTTAGTTTTCAATAATATTTTCTCCTTCAATTTTAACATGTAATGATAGGATACCAGAAAAGATAACACCTTCAAAACCCCAATGTTAAAAATACCTTACATGGGTGTAAGCTTTTTGGAGAAGAAATAAGAAAAGATTATCTGAAATATTTTTTCTACCTCTCTCTGAAATTATTTTTAGCAGCTGATTATTCTTGCTAAAATAAATATCAAAAGCACTGAGTATTCCATAGAAAAGTATTCCCCCTTACACACTTCGTTTTTGCAGCATAGAGTTCATGGAGTAACTGTTGAAATAAGAGTAATGGATGCTTGTTTTCTGGAAAATTCTTCAGATTTCCAAAGAAAAAGTACATGCAGCCCCCTAGCAGTGAAATGCTGTGAATTCAGTGGCGCTTTTTAATGGTGAACATGCATCATTAAACACTTTTTAGCACCAAAGCATTTTTTTTAATGTTGCAAAAGCAAACACCTAGGGAGGGTTTTGTTTCTTTTGTTTTTTGTTTTTGTTTTTGTTTTTGTCATCTTTGACCCTTCCTAGAGCTGCGTAAAAATGAAGTCTTTAAAATAAAACCTCCTCAAACATACACAGATCTGAATCTGATTCTAATGCAACAAGAAGTTTGGGACAGATACAGCCAGCAGCATCCCTAAAGATGAAGAAGAGAAAAAGACAAAACGATAAAGTGCACGAGGTAACTACCTGTGCCTGCCAGCCACGGCACTCTCTTACTGTGGAAGAGAAAACACAAATGTGTGCAAAGGCTACCTACTGGTCTGTATGACAGAGAACTAGCAAACCTGCAGTTTAGGCAGTTCTGGGATTATACAGTATTTTGGCGTCTATCTGCTACTTAGAATACTCAGTATGCACCTACATATCGATCGTTATATTCATGTGCTGTGCCATCTCTGATGTTTTAAGTACATACACAATCGCAAAATATAATTGGCTACCATTCGAGGCTTGGGCTTGCCTCCTGCTCCTGGGTGCACTAGGGAATTCCCACCAATGCTTCAGCTCCATCCAAACTCTAAAGCTTCTCCGTGGTAAACGCACGGTTTCTACAAAACAGGGCCAAAAAGAAACTTTCTGGCTCCAAGTCCACCAAAGAACGAAGCTGGAATTGTGGACCGAAGAAGAATTTTCTTGGTGGTTGGTGAACATGGAGGACTGCCATGACATCCATGAGGCCTTACTCCAGGTAACTCCCCCTTCTCTGAAGGCTGACATTTCCAAATGCATACAACTAAAGGTAACAATGTCACAGTGACTAAAGGGAACAATCGGGATCAGTGGTTTGATACGTATTTTGTGTGTGTTCATTTAAAACCCTTATTAGGAACCTTAAAACTCATATTCATCAAAAAACTGATGGAAATGTTAATATTCTGAACAAGGAAAATAAAAAAAAAAAAACATACACCTGAAATCCCTAAAGCTCAGATTCAACAAATCTGAACTACCTTTCTTCATAATGTTTCATTTCAGAACTCTGCTGAGACCTGATGTTAACACGAAGACTGGATTTGTTCTGTATTAAATACAAACTATAAATAAATATTTGAGGTATGTTATGACAAATAACTTTAATATAACATTTAGCTAAATAAATGTAAATTTACCTTGAAAATCTAGTTAAACATTAAATCGTGATATTTCCTACAGATGTTTCCACAGCTTTTTTTTTATTTACACCAAAAAACCTCTCTACTCTTCAGAAACGGTAAAATATCAAAAAATTGAAATGCTTTAACCTCACGATTTTATAGTCACACCTTGCCTTTGTTAACCAAAAGCTATTGTATGCATTGTGTAGTGTAAAAAATGAATAATGGAGTGAGAGAAATCTATGTCTGAATCCTGACTTTGCCATTCTGTACAAACCTAAATGAGTTCTTTTACATTTTTTAAAAAATAATAAAATCAGCCGGGCATGTGGCTTATGCTTGTAATCCCAGCACTTTGGGAGGCCGAGACGGGTGGATCACTTGAGGTCAGGAGTTCAAGACCAGCCTGGCCAACATGGTGAAACTCTCTCTCTACTAAAAACAGGAAAAAAAATAGCTGGGTATGGTGGCACACACCTGTAATCCCAGTTCCTCAGGAGGCTGAAACAGGAGAATCACTTGAACCCAGGAGGCGGAAGTTGCAGTGAGCTGAGATTATGCCACTGCACTCCAGCCTGGGTAACAGAGCAAGACTCTGTCTCAAAAAAAAAAAAAAAAAAAAAAAGAAAAGCGAATCAAATCTTTGCAAGGTAATTAAGAGGATCAAAATGAATGATGATATATATTAAGTGCTTGACAAAATGCTCTACAAATTGTCAACCCTCAACAAATGCTAAATTGTTTCCTCTCCGTTCCTCCTTTCTCTCCATCCCCAACACCTTGATTCTGAATTACTTTTGAATATTTTCAAGAATTAAATCCGCCTATAAAGAATAAGGACTTAATGCTAATGAAAATAACCAAAGAATGTGCCCCAACCACCCATCTTACCTCCTGGGAGTTTCTAAATTAATAGGATGAACTCAAGGATATTGTATTTGCATATTAAAGCTAAATAATATATGAATTTACAGTTTATAAAGGAACAAGACGACCTTTTCCAAAACAAGTAATTCGAAGCCTAAGGTCATGGAGAGTCTTCATTAAAACTTCTAATAGGAGCTGTGACTATAAAGTAATGTGAGTAATTTATTAAGAAACATATAAGACCCTATATATACAATTAAATGGTATCATCTACAAAATAGTCACTTCAGATGGCTATGTAATATTCCAATGATGCTACCATAGCCCCAAGTATTTTGTGAACAACACTTAATTGGTACATATTCCAAAGCTTTATTTTCTCATGATTTTTACTACTTAGTCTACATTCACCAACAACACATTAATGAAATACCTGCTATTAACAAGGAGCAGATACTTGAGCAAGTACAATATTAACACTGTGGTGCACATTTCTTCGAGTTCTAGCCTAATCATCCCAAAGGATGTTATGGAGTGGCAGATGGCAGTCAGGTAAAATGACACCTGAAGATACCTGGCACCTGGTCAGTGATCGCCGAACTGGATGACTGTTCAAGGCAGCAAAGGGAGTAAGGGAGCTCTCTAACTACCCCGTGCTGAGTCCAGCAATCTTAGCTACCAGAAAAAGTGCCATTCCCACCAAAATTCTCTCAATGCAGTATCTTAATGATCAGAGGAAAATTAAGAAAACACCACACCTCTCCAACCTACATATATTTAACTCCCACACCAAAGGAAACTTTCTCCTTTAAAGGAGCAAAGTTCTCCCACAGAGGGTAAAGGGGAACTGTGAAGCCCCAGAGGAGACACTAGGTCAATCAGCAAGGTTTTCTGAATCAGCAAGATTTTTTGAATACTTCCAATATATGCCACATTGGTCAGAGTTTGACAATTACCAGTGCAATTACAGTCTTAACCAGGCAAGAATCCTCACTTCCCCAAGAGCCAAGCCCAACAGCCAGAGGGAAGTCCTTAGCCCCTGAGACCACTAGCTCCACCCCTTGTAGACATTGTTCAGTCTAATAGTGTTAACGCAAACTGCACGCAACCAAGAGAACAACTTGACCAATGTCATTCCTAGGAAGAGAGGGAAACAGCCTTATGCCCAGGAGTATTTGCACAATTCCACCTGTGCAGTCAAGCAAGGATGGAGAGCAGAAGCCTGAGTCATGGAACACTCTGTCAATCACATCTCTTCTGGGGATAAGGGTAAACCAGAAGAGAAAAACATTTCCCTAATTAGCCCTCCATGACCATAGGCTCCTTGGCAGAAAAAGTTCACAATTATATCAGCATTTGGCCCTTACACTCCCTTGCAACCAGAACCCATGAGCTAACTTGCTATCAATTCGTTAGCGGCGTCAGGAAGCATCTATCTTAAGAGCCATGTAGAAAGCATTCTGTATGATGCTTACATCAGAGTGATGTGCTGGGAGGTACTGAAAAGAATGATGGATAATGAACTCAAAGTGCACTTAGGAACAGAAAAATCTTCTCTCAGAATCACTGCCAGAAACTTACAGTAAGAGGGAACCAAAGGGTAGTGTAAAACGATTCCAACTCTGATAAGGTAGGGTTCAGTAGGATGGATTGGTTTATTTTACATAATTTTCAACAATTACTTAAGATCATATTCTGTTCCAGAACACAGATCTCCCTCCTCCTGTATTCAAAGTGATTTTCATATCCCAGGCACAGATTTCCTGATGTAAGTACTCATTTTCAGGAACAACTACAGCAATTTTCCATCCAGAAAAAAAGAAAACCACACAGATTTGCCAGTGCTTTCAAGATATAACTAAAATACTCAGGTGGGACTTTTCCCAGTGACTTTGAGGACCCGTAGAGCTAAAGAAAATTTCTGCAACAATTTTCCTGGATGAGAAAGCTGTCATTTTCTTTTCTTATTATGCATTTCAAATTACAGTTTCTAGCCATATTGTTTAGCACACTAGTTTTAAAGCCCCTTACGAAAGAATACTGGAGTTGATATTTAAGCTATCAGATTTATGATTCAGCAGCCTCTTTATCTTAGGATGGGGCAGGCAGACTAAAAGAGAATGTGTCCTCTGACCTGAAGTAGCTGTTCCTTCTATCACACTATGCCTATAGTTCCTTTGAAGCATTTGACAAATTCTACCTGATTTATAACTCTGCTATGGCTTAAAATGCTATTAACAGTACTGGATGGAAAGTTCGGCTTCCCCTTTTCAGAAACATATCTGCTTTATTCTGTGAAAGTAAACGTAACATGCTGCACATACATTTTTCCAATCAAATTGCATAGTTGAGACAAAGTCATTTGTGCTTTGTAGCAGAACTCACAGTAGGTGTTCATATCTAAAAACTTTGATTTGGAAATGCCAAGTCCTGGGCAAGCTCACCTTTGTTTGGAGTGTTAGTTAATGATATGCACCGCCATTCCCCTTCCCATGATTTTGTTAACCGTGTACCTCAGCCTATACCGTAGGGGAGCATGAGCTTTAAATTAACACAACGGAAACGGGAACAAATCTAGCTGAACGTCTCCTTCTTGGAGAGAAGCGGGGAAAGGCTCTCAGTCTTGTTGAGGTATCCAGCCCTCAGTGAATAGCGGCTGTGTATACTGAGTTTTGTTGGTTTGAGGATTGTGTCTGTAGAGGTTAAAAAAAGAAATAAAGAAAAGAAGGCACGGTTGTTTCTCAAGTCGCCATTTTCAACTCAACCAACAAAACTAAATTCTTCCATTTTCAAGCTTCAGGAGGGCGTCTCCAGGGCAGCTGGGCTCTCTTCCAGCCCCGGGTCCGCAGAGGAACTTATTGCTTCTGGGAAGGGCCCCGGGTAGGTCTGTGCTGCGCACTGGATCCCTTTTTGCAGACCAGTCTCTTCGTGGAATTCTCCCTGGGTGCTGAAAGCTGGGCAAGATCTAGTCCGGGCACTGTCGGGGTGGCCCACTCTCTCACTCACGGTGCTAAGGGGGAATTCTCTCCACCTCCGCCTCTGGAGTCCATCCTCCTTGTATTTTATGGAGTACCAGGCCAGAAAAATAAAAATGAAGCCAACGAATTTGAGGCCGGCCGCCAAACCAAAATACACAAAACGAAACGACGTCACGTTGTACTCCCAGCAAGAACCCTGCACGCCACATTCCTGTTGCCAGAGCATGCAGGTGGTGTCAATGACTGCTCCAAAGTAGATTGGAGTAGGAATGTATGCTAGAGAGGGGAAGAAGAAAATACGAAGACTTAGCACGTCTTACAAGGGAGAACAGATTTGTAAATTAGCAAGGTACTTGTGTGCTCTAAAACCAGTTGAGGGGAGGGATTTTCTTATGTTACCACATTTTTTAAAAAACACAATCACATTTTATCACAATATATTTATCATAAAAGCATTCGCTATATGATAAACACTTAAAATCGAGTTTGCCACCCAGAATGCGCTGTTGCTTTTTACGATCAAATCAACATGTTGCACACTATAAGTAGATACAATTTTATTTGTCAATTATACCTCAATAAAACTGAAAACAGGGATATTGCTAAAAATACAATTAGAGAATCCTTTTAAACCTAAAAATTGGATTTTGTCATTAAGTATTCAACAGGCTACACTAGAACCCTTTATTACCCACCGAAATTCAATACACTTAGTTCTTGTGGGTTGGGCGCTAGTCCTTGGATGCAGGAAGAGTATGAGAAAAGCAGCATCTCCTGTGAGTCAAACACCACATAAAATGGCAACTTTATTAAAGCACTTATAAATCCAAGAAATTATATATATAAAGGTACTTTATTATGGCATAAATTTCATCTTTGAAGTTTATGAAACATCTGAGATGAATAGTAGCTTCGTCGTCTGGGCTATGATATAGACATTTCCTTAATCCAATGAGAAAAAAAGTGTACCTAGTACGTAGACTCCTTCATCACATGCTACTCCCTTTGCCAAAATGTCCCCCCAACTCATTCACCTTGCAAATATCTATGCTCCCTTTGAATTCCTGACTTACTCAGATGCCATCATATTCTCACTGCATTTTGTATCTACCTCCATTTTATTCACTATCACATAGTATTGTAAATGTTTGCAAATCTGTCACTCCATAAGCTTCTTCAAGGCAGAGACCATGCCTTTCATTCTTTGCATCCCAAAGACCTCAATAAAAATTTACAGAAGATAGCGATGGGAGAGAGGAGGGAGGAAGGAATAAAAGAGAGAAAGGAGGCAGGGAGCCAGGAAGACAGAAAGGAAGGCAGAGAGGATAGGTGGGCTGATAATCCAGGAAGCTGTGAGTGATACATTTTAAATAGGTTGTTTTGATTTAAAATAAAGTCTATTGGTTTAATTTTAATATTATTAAAGTTGTTTTTTTTTTTAACTCTTTTTCTGTTTCGGAATTTGGGGGAAATGAAAATTGGCTTGTTGGCCCAACTAGACTTTTTCACAATCCATAGAAGTTAAAATAAAGTTGAATTAAATAATAAATGCCTGAAATGTTCTCCCTCTACTTATTCTTGATGCTGTGGCATACATGTGTGGACTCACCTTTACCTCTAAATGGTATCAAATGACCCCAACTCTATGGCATCAGAGAGGGGCTGGCCGGGCATGGTGGCTCACATCTGTAATCCCAGAACTTTGGGAGGCCAAAGCGGGTGGATCACCTGAGGTCAAGAGCTGAAGACCAGCCTGGCCAACATAGTGAAACCCCATCTCTAGTAAAAAAAAGAAAAAGAAAAAGAAAAAAAATGCAAAAATTAGCCAAGCATGGTGGCAAATGCCTGTAATCCCAGTTACTTGGGAGGCTGAGGCAGGAGAAACACTTGAATCCTAGAGGCAGAGGTTGCAGTGAGCTGAGATTGTGCCACTGCCCTCCAGCCTGGGCAACAGAGCAAGACTCTGTCTCGAAAAAAATAAATAAATTATATATATATATATATATTTATGTCTTTTCTTATTCAATGACCCCTTTGGTTAACAAATCTCCTTATTTCTAAATAATACTGTTTAACTTTTAACAAGAACTATAAGACAGATTTTTTTTTTTTTAGATAGAGTTTTGCTCTTGTTGCCCAGGCTGGTGTGCAGTGGCTCTATCTCCGCTCACTGCAACCTCTGCCTCGCAGGTTCAAGCAACTCTCCTGCCTCAGCCTCCTGAATAGTTGGGATTACAGGCACGCACCACCACACCCAGCTAATGTCTTTGTATTTTTAGTAGAGTTGGGTTTCCTCATGTTGGCCAGACTGGTCTCGAACTCCTGACCTCAGGTGATCCACCCGCCTCGGCCTCCCAAAGTGCAGGGATTAAAGCATGAGCCACTGCACCTGGCCTAAAGCAGACTTTTTCACTATATCTAAGTGTGTCAGGATTTCCTTTAAACAGCATGCTTTTTTAAAAATGGTACCCTCAAAGTCTTATTAGTACCAAACAAAAACAAAAACAAGCCACTCATTACATGGAACTAGAAGCATCTTCCTCCTGGGGCTTATTGAAAAGAGCTCATTTTTGGACTGGGCCATCAACCACAACATATGACAAATGGAGAATGCCAGGGGATTAGTGCTTTAGGGGGTCAGAAGATGCCCTTTTTAAACATTACCTCTTCAAAACTGAAATAAGAAATTTGAATCAAAAAACAATTTTTTTGTCTTGTAGACAATAACACTGATTACTGAAGAGAAAATAACAGCTGAAGAAAATGACAGACTGCCACTTAAGAAAAAGAAATTATAAAAGGAAAAATAAGCTTGAAGACAAGGATATCAATTAAAAATACACTGAAACTGATCAAAGGAACATTGTATTTTACATGCTTATTTCCCACTGTCTCAAGAACTCACAGAGTGCTATGGTGTCTGTAAAAAGAAGACCTATATTCCTCCTGCACAAACGTACTCTGTGGTTTGTCACAAGGACACAGCACTACTGAGCTTCTCTTTTTGATAAGTAAAGACTTATAAGGCAGTCCCTGTATGTCACTTTGGGCACCTTTATTTTCCTTTCTAAAGTTTTTTATTTTTCTCAGAAAACATGATAGGTATACTCTTTGTTTAGTCCAATAAAATTACTGTAAAGAAGTAAGAAATTGAAAACTTTGCAAATAAAGACCGATTTCTATTGCTTTCATAGTAAAAAGGCATAAAGGAGTCAGAATGCTAGGATTACAAATCCTTGACAAATTGCTTGATTTCCTATTTCTTACTGTGCAAAACGTTGGGGAATTTTGTCCAAGTTTATGTTCATAATGGAAAAGAAACTAACCTAATGTTGGTTTTGTTTTGTTTCATCAAACAACAGAACCTGTCAGCTTCTAGTTCAAATCAGAAAACAAGGAAGTTGTAGCCTCACCACTAACCTGTAAAATCTTACTCATGGTAATAAATGACGTGACTTGCCATTTTTAAAGGACAGTGAAAATTTGCCATCTGCAAAGAGGAACTAAGAGGCGCACTTGGAAATTCAGGGACGTACCAAGTGTTCGCAACAAAACAAACTGCATTCCCAGCGCGAAAGGTCTCTCCTCATCTTCTACGGACCTGCAGTGAAGGGAAAGAAAGAAATGTTTTTTAAATAGTAGCCCCAAGAAAATGAATGTCAAATCAAGTCGGCTTTGTGCAGAGCCAGGGACTAAAGAGATACCATGCCAAAATATTTAACTCACTATTGTTTACTAACAATAGCCACATAAGATTGCTCGTGGCTAAATCACTGAATAAACATCTTCCCAATGCAGACACCAAAGAAACTCTGACTAACTCTAACTGTTTCTACATAAATACTGGTGGAAGGTTAAAGGCTTTTGGCTGAAGAAGCTGAAATGCCTCTAACTGAGCTTGCAAAATCAGATCCATTTTTTTTTTTATTTATAGAATTTCATCCTAAATCCTGCGGGGTTTTTTTGTTTTCGTTTTTGTTTTTTTGCCTGTGTGCCTGCATCTTCCAGAGTGGTAGATGTGTACATTCAAAATTACTCCAATAATTCTTCCAAAACAGGAAGAAAAAAGAGTAAAGAATAAAAGTATATTCAAAAAATGTACAAGAAACAAGTCAAACATCAGAGGAAGCATGAGCCCTCCAACCACATCTTTTTTTCTTTTTTAAAAACTTACACTCCAAGTTATTCCCATGTGGCAGGAAGATTGGAGTCTACCGGTTTTGTAATTAGCAAAGATTAAAGGGTTCCTTTTCTGAAAGTTTAGGTTAGAAGCCAGCTGGCTATTTGCCATGTATGAACACTAAAGGAAAAAGTAGCCTATGGGTTATTTAATATCTCTTGAGGAATTAAAGTGCAAAGAATGAGATTATTTGAGTAAATTTGTGAATGATTCATGTCTTTTTAAATGCTGCAGTACCTTATCCTCTCCATCGCATACCCATGAGAGTATGGTGTATAATGGGAACTTTCCCAAGACCAGTGCCCTTGTCACCTTTTCCCTAATTTCTTTATTTCTCATAGCAATTTGCAAAGTGCTGCACACAGGTTGTTATTCCATAAATATCTGCTGCTGGAAGAAATGAGTAAGCAAACCAGTGGGCCTTTCATGCACCACTATCTGGCTGTCAAGGAACAGCTTTGCTTGGAAATGCCTGATTCTTTCCCAGTGGGAAAGAAGCCAGAATACGCCTGGTGCAGCCCACTGCCCTTGCTAAGCAATGACATCTCAGCAGGCGCTTCCTGCAAGGTGCCCAGCATTGTGGCATCTGAGGAGCCTGGAGGAAGAGTAAGAACTGACTCCCTTTCTTCACTCCTTCCCTGCCCTGCACCCCCTCATCCCCCTGAAGCTGCCCAGACCCATGGGTGTGCTCTTCTGGCTTCACCACGCTGCCCAGTTCCTCTGTCCACTGCAGTCCTTACTGCAAATATCAACACACCGATGTGAATGTATCAGTGTGGCAGGCTTCCATAACAACTGTTTCAGTACTGGCTGAGTGGTTAAGTTAAATATTAAAAGCCAGTGCCCTTATACAAATGCTGGAATGTAACAAAAGCCCACCAAGACTTTTGCCTAGGTCTTTCCTGGGACTTAAAGCATGACAAAACAATGAAGGAATTCTTAAGAAGATCCTCTCTTAAAAAAATAGGATTAAACAAGTTTTATTGGGGGTCTGCAAAAACTCCCTAGGCCTCCACAAACAAGTTTATTGGGGGTCTGAAGGAACTCCCCAAACCTCCATGATTTAGCAGGAGATAAGATAAGGGTAATCACCCCAGCACCTGGACCCATTTAGATTAAGTAAACTTACTGAGGCTTCAGGAGAAGGTCTTCAAGATTCAGACCTTTGTTATAGGTTAAAAGAAATTAATCACTTATGTCTTTAGATGAATGCACACTTACACATGGACAGATAGCTTAGAATGTATATAAGCTCTAATAAACTTCATAATTTTGAGTTGGTCTGGTGATAATTTCCAGCTGTTCTCCCTGTAACTGGTTACAGAAATATAAACTCTCTTTCTCCCCAGTTCATTTGGATCTCTTGTTATTGCACTGCAAAAAATAGCAGCCCAACTCTCATTTTGGTTCAGGAACATCAGTGCCAACATTTTTAATAGGACAAAAGTAGCTTCCGTGTTCTCTTATCAACAAAAAATCCAAACAAGACATGGCAAAGAAAGCACAGCCTGAAAAACTAAAAAAAAAAAAAAAAAGAGAGAGAGAGAAATCACATTCCCCAATATGCCCTTTTCTTGACTCAACTCTGAAATTTTGTATGATAGTAAAATTAATGAACTCAGCATTTCAAATTGCAAGCCCAGCATAAATCACCACTGATCCCAAAGGTAGTAGCCATCTGCAAGGTTGAAGATAATAGCCTTTGCTGTATGCACGATTTAGCAACTTTCCCAAATTACTTCCTGCCCTCCTCTGGGGTCCAGCTTCTCATAGCTAACAGAGTGATGACTTTCAACTGCTGAAGTTAAACCTCACAGGGCAGAGACTTCAGGAATCAAAAACATCAAAAGAAGTTTCATTATACATTAAGAATATAACCCAACTGAATAAAAGAACCTTCCAAAGTATGGAATGTTACAACCTTCCTTTCCCTTCCCAAAAGGGAAAAATCCCTCTTAAGTTCACCAGGCAAATATCTGAGCGCCCTCCTGCACATGCTAATTTTGCTTTGCTCCATGATTTACCACATAAGCTCCTTCTCCTGGATTATGTGCTCTGGAAATTCTAAGTACAGAACCCACCCCGGAAGTTGAATGCCCTTCTCACCTAAGTGTTACTATGATGGCCGATGGTTGGGCACAAGCTGTGATGAAGGTGACTATGAAAAGAAAAACTAAGAATGGGATAAGAGTATTGCAGGTCCGTTTACATTTCCCAGACACAGCATAGCCGTTCTCATTGAGATAAGTCTTGACAATAACCACACGGAGCTGACTGCGCTGTCCCACGGTGGGCGGAGTGATCACTTGTCGACTTTGGACACAGGTGCATTCTGTATAATTCCGTATCTAAGTGAGCAAAATAAAGAGCAGTTGTGTGCCCCTCAAAAGCTCACTGGGGCATAGGAATATTGAGACAAAATTAAGTAAAAGTACTCTAAAATAGCTCGAATATTTTTTAAAACACAAAATATTTCATTGAAAATAACTTCCTCATTGATAACAGTAAGGATCTCAAGTGTGTGTCTAACAGAACCAAAGTCTGCTGGTCAACATTGTTTAAACCTAAACTTTCCTAAGAAGCTTTCAACATTCAATACCATTCGCATTCCGCAGACTCATTTTTGTCATCATTATATTCTGCCTCAATTGCTGTTAACTCTTGGGCTCTCCAATTAGAGAAGCCCTTCAAAAACCGGAACCAAACCTTATTTTTCTTTGTGCTCACAGGGCACCTAGCACAACTCTGGGCACACAAAGGGCCCTAAAGTCAACATCTATTAAATGCAGAGAATTCATAATGCAACCGTGATGACTTCAGCACCAATAATAGTAAACACCTCATTGGTGTTCCATTTTCTTTTCTTTTTCAACTTTTATTTTAGGTTCAGGGAGTACATGGGCAGGTTTGTTACATGGGTCTATTGCGTGATGCTGAGGTTTGGTGTACAGATGATCCCATCACCCAAGTCGTGATCATAGTTCCCAACAGGTAGTTTTTCACACCTCCCTCCCCACCTCCCCCTCTAGTAAGTCTCCAGTGTCTATTGTTTCCGTCTTTGTGTCCGTGAGTACCCAATGTTTAGCTCCCACTTATAAGTGAGAACATGTAGTGTTTGGTTTTCTGTTCCTGCATTAATTCACTTAGGATAATGGCCTCCAGCTGCATCCATGTTGCTGCCAAGGTCATGATTTTATTCTCTTTTATGGCTGTGCAGTACTCCATGGTGTATATTATCACATTTTCTTTATCAAATTCATCACTGATGAGCACCTAGCTCAATTCCATGTCTTTACTCTTGTGTATAGTGTTGTGATGAACATACAAGTGCATGTGTCTTTCTGGTAGAATGATTTGTTTTCTTTTGGATACATATTCAGGAATGAGATTGCTGGGTTGAGTGGTCGTTTTGTTTTAAGTTCTTTGAGAAATCTCCGAACTGCTTTCCACAGTGGCTAAGTTAATGTGCATTCTGGTGCTTCCATTTTAAACATCTTTTTAGTCCCTATAATTAGCTGGTGCCCTACTCCCTACAGAAGAGCAACCAGCTCCATGGATGGAACTTGACTACCACAGCCCCCACCCAGTACTGCTCCTGGACTCTGACAGAGTCACGCTAAATAGACATCAGCTGAGCTGACCTTCATTGCAACCTTGAATACCTGAAGCAGTGGTAAGAATAAGTATGGAGACGGGGCACTGTTTGGCTGTCATGCTCAAAAGACTGCTGGCATTTTTTAAAGGATGAGCACTCACTCTCAAGGAAGAACTTAGCCACCAGGAGAACAGATCTCACCCTTTCAACATGGTGACACAGTGGAGCTCACCAGTTATACGATGGGGAACAAACAACAGGAATTCTCAATTTGTCATTGCCGTTTAAAACTCAGACATCAAAAACAATATCCCCAAAACATTCAGTGGATGGTATAATCCCTTATCACCTGCACAGAACAAGCACATGCACTTTAACCTTTTAGTGAAAGCAACTTCCTACAGCCTGTTCTTCACGAAGAATCAAACCGGGCTCAATAAGAAACTGAGTAGAGGCCAGGTGCGGTGGCTCAAGACTGTAATCCCAGCACTTTGGGATGCCGAGGCAGGTGGATCACCTGAGGCTGGGAGTTCAAGACCAGCCTGACCAACATGGAGACACCCCGTCTCTACTAAAAATACAAAATTAGCCGGGCATGGTGGCACATGCCTGTAATCCCAGCTACTAGGGAGGCTGAGGCAGGAGGATCACTTGAACCTGGGAGGCAGAGGTTGCAGTGAGCTGAGATCGTGCCATTGCACTCCAGCCTGGGCAACAAGAGCGAAACTCCATCTCAAAAAAAAAAAAAAGAAAGAAAGAAAAAAGAAAGAAACTGAGTAGAATATGAAAACCTTCTCCCACAGTATTACGGCCCATTTATAATTTACAGAAAAGGGAATTCTCAAAATAGCCTATTCTTGAACTGTCAGAAATATCTTTACTTTGAAAGTTTTTTTTAAGCCTGAACTGAACTGACACTGTGTGAAAAATGGCCATCGCCCATCTTCACAGACTCCAGTCAGGGGAGGTGCTTTCCTATTCTCTTCTATCAGCACCAAATATGGTCATCTTGACCTTCAAATCCATCACAAGGGCCCTGTCAGAGAAACAAATGGCAGGCCTAGAGCTCAACCTTATCAAGTTTCACTGAGTTGGTGCAGAATATAAAGTAGGAGAATGCTGATATGGAACCAAATCCCTGCACCCAAATGTTCCAGTCATCCCTGGAAAAAAAATAATAATAGCAATGCATAACTTTCTTTCCTTGAGGTTTTCATCAGAGGTATTTTGTAGGTTACTTGGAGCATCTTAAAAAGAAAGACTGAAGTCATTGTGGCTGCATATGAATTTCATCACATCCTTGTCACAGGATGTTGGAATAACAGAAGAGGAACTTGTGAAATATACTCACCCCAGTGCTAAGATTACCACTATTAACACAGCCAGCCAGACAAGGGTTAAAGTATGTAATTCCATCTGATCCACAGACTGGCTCATACTCATGTATTTTACAGCCACAATTAACGTTGCAGCTTCCTGTCAGATTCCTATGGGGCATGGTGAGAGAAGGTCTAAGAGAGAAGAGAAGCAGATCATGAGCAACACTTACCAAAATAAAACTCATAGGAAAGGTCTTGAAATTAATAATTTGTCCATTTTAGAGAAAATATTCTTCCCATTTAATCAAAGCCATGATACCCTAAGTAGCCACCCTCAACAATTATTTTTGTGACTTTAAAACAAAACATAAAGAAAAATGTTTCAACTTTCTGGTACTACAGATTCAATGCTTTTTATCAAATTACTGCCCCACCTCAATTTCACCCTCCCTCTTGGTGCTATGAACCTGGTCTCAACATCTAGGATCTGCAATTCTAACCCTAATATAACTACTCACCCTGTAGGCATCAGGCTCTACATCTTAACAAATCTGTACCTCAATTTCTTTATAAAATGGAGGAAATACTTTTTAGTATTGAATCAATAACATCACTGTGAGCACATGATCACAGTTAAAACCCATCTATCCCAGTTATTAATACACGTTCCTTTGACCAAAAACTTATACTCTAGAATAAATTATCAAAGAAAGGCATGAGACTCTAGAAAATCAAAATGAAGTATTTTCAAAGATGATTAGGAATCACATTGCTAGTTTGATTTAAACAACCAGAGAATAAAGATTAAGCAGTTTTTCACTCAGGATTGCCCAGGTGTGGATCCACAATCAGATATGGTGGGTTTCTTTTCTTGAGATCATGGTGTCTGATACAAAGAAATGATACCATATGAAAAGCTTGAAGAAAATAAATTCAGGCAACAAATATAGAGAGAAGGAAAGGCAGGTAAGGATATAGGCCTAGGGAGGGGAGTGTAAACAAACCGGTGGAAGAGCAGAGGAGCACCTGGGGGATCCACAGAAGAAAGAAAGGGGCTCTGTACTGCTCGTACCTAGTGACCACTTTTGTTTTTGTGACCACCAGTTTTGTGTATCACTGATGAAATGTTGTTCCCAAGACTATATGAGTTAGCAGTGGCAGATCCTTCATCCAACCACCCATTTATCCATTATCTACCCATTCAACAAATATTTTGGAATGTCTGTTATGTACCAGGTCTTATCTTTTTTAAAATAGATTTAGAGGGGGGAAACATAGTTTTGTCATATGAATATATTGTGTAGTAGTGAAGTTTGGTTAGTGAACCCATCACCTGACTAATGTACATTGTACTCAATAGGTAATTTCTCCCCCCTCAACTCCCCTCCCTCGCCACAAAGACTTTTCTTTTTGAGAAGGAGTCTCACTCTGTCACCCAAGCTGGAGAGCAGTGGCGTGATCTCCGCTCATTGCAAACTCTGCCTCCCAGGTTCAAGCAATTTGCCTGCCTCAGCCTTCCGAGTAGCTGTGATTACAGGTGCCTGCCACCACACCCTGCTAATTTTTGTATTTTTAGTAAAGACGGGGTTTCACCATGTTGGCCAGGCTGGTCTCGAACTCCTAACCTCGTGATCCGCCCGCCTCGGCCTCCCAAAGTGCTAGGATTACAGGCGTGAGCCACTATGCCTGGCCAAGACTTATCTTTAATGACTATGCTAGTACCACTTATACAGTAGTATAGCACATCCCAACCATGTGTGTAAATCGGTGTTTGTTCAAAGGTTTTTTCCTGTGGCTTATTTCAAACTTTGATAATGAGTCCTTAAATTTTAATGGGGGAAACAAATTCAAAACAATATTAAAGTCTTATCAAGAAGGCCTTCTAACAAGGCAAAAGGCAAATAAATTCTGTTTTTCATTCATGTCACTCCACAGAAAAAAAATTATCACAAGACTCTAATAATCATTACATTCACAAACTTCTAGTGTCATACCATTTTAAAGTTTGTATATACTTTAAAAAAAAATTATAGACTAGTGGGTCTCCACTGGGTCAATTTTGCCCCCCCAGGGGACCTTTGGCAATGTTAGGAGACAATCTTGGTTCTCACAGCTGAGGGGGTGCTACTGTCATCTAATGGGCCACTAGTTCCTACTGAGGTAGGAGATCAGCAGGACCTGCATTTCTGAGTCCTGTTCACAACCCTGCTGATCAAAACAGGGTGTAGCAAAGAAACTGACCAAAACCAGAAGGACGAAGATGGCAACCAAAGCGACCTCTAATTGCCTTCATGGCTCATTATATGCTAATTATAATATATTTGCATAAGACACTCCCACCAGCACCATGGTGGTTTATAAATGATGCCACGGCAAATGGCTCAAAAGTTACCTTATATGGTTCTGGGAACTCTCTGCCCCGTTTCCAGAAAGCTTGTGAATAACCTGCCCCTTATTTTGTACATAATTAAGAGTCGGTATAAATCTAGCCAGCCAGCAATCCACAAGTGCTTCTCTGGGTCATTTTGCTGTACATTGCTGCTCTAATAAACTTGCTTTCTTTCACTGCCAGCTTTTTCTCGAATTCTTTCCTGTGCAAAGCCAAGAACTCCCCCAAGCTGAGACCCAATTTTGAGGTTTTGCTGGCATCATTACAACGCACAGGAAGGGCCCTACCACCTCCCATAATAAAAAATTATCTGGCCCAAATGTCAATAGTGCTGAGGATGAGATACCCTGTTCTAGACCAATTTTCACACTGTTCAAGGAGGCAAAAAGCTTTCTTGAGTTTGGGAAATAGGCACAGTCCCCGGTCACCTTTGGGTATGTTTGCTTTTCTTATGAGATCGTAGTGTCTGATACGAATAAATGCTATGAAATGAAAGGCTCTAAGAAAATCAATACATGCAACAAATATAAATAGCAATGAAAGGAAGTGGGCATTCCTGAAAAAGTTATTAGGAGAGAAGGTGATCATGGTACACACACAAAAAGCTGCTGACATGGCTCATCCTTTACACTGTGCTGAAAATCATTTTTAAGAATAACGATGTTCTGTCTGATTGTCATTCACTCTCCAGAAAACAGACTGGATTCTAATAATAGCACCAATGTTTAAACCTGAGTAACACTAAGCAGTCTCTCATTAGCCAGACGTGAACCCATCATGAGAGCACGAAATGCACAAGGACGACTTACTGAAGGCTGCACTCATCCTTGTGCAAAGGGACTGTGCAGCTCCTTCCCCACAAACAAAAAGCATTTGTGGCAAGACATAAAATGCACAAGGGCTTCTTGCTGAAGGTAGTCCTCCAAATAAGAGGATTGTGTTAACTCAAGAATCAATGTAAGTGTTAATTTTGAGTGAGGCACGGGGCCTCGATAGCAAATACGTTATAACTGCGTAGTCCACAATGTAAGCCTGAGAGTCACACATTACATCTTAATATAAAAATGATGGAATTACAGAGCTAGAGAGATGGAGGCATCTCTGAGATTCTCTGGCAAACTTGGTAACTTTAAAGAACGGGAAACTGTAAGAGGTATCACGGCAAGCCTCACAATCACTGAGGCCTCAAGAAAACCAGCTCTGAGGAGACAGCAAAAAAGAAAACAAGAAGTAAAAACAACCACCTTGTTATCCAATCTTTGCTAAATCAATCACTCAGGGATCGATGCTTATGTAAAGTAATATATAACAGCAAGACAAACGATTGTTAAACATAATTCAAACTATTTCTGCGACAGGGTCATTATAGCTAAGTATGTAAGAACACAGTGGCCCTCAAAAACCACAACCACACCCCAGCAATTGTGTACCATCACCCTGCCCCAAGACCTAAAGAACACCTGAACTTCCCCACCTAAACATACTTCTCCTACATACTTCTACTGGTCTCTATAAACCAAAGAGAAGTCTCTTTTTGAGTTTTTCTCTATTAAAAAATATGACAAGTAGAAATCCATACATACTATGTTCAAGCCATAAAAGAACATGATTCCCACAGCACAGAGAGAGAGAGAGAGAGAGAGAGAGAGCCTGTTTAGCAAAAGATACTAATAAACTAGAACAGTGTCTGTCTTATAATTTCTTAATCTTCATCAATTTATCTCAGTCTTCAAGAAGACTTCAATGAGAATGTTTCTTTTCAACTCCATTTAAATTTTTGGCTTCATATTAGAACACTTCCTTGGCTATACAGAGCTATGCAACTTCGGGTTTACAAGTATTATTATCATCACCATAAGCATCATTATCATTTAAAACTAACATCAGCAGAACCCTACTTTTATTCCATGAATTGCACCCTGAGATCTCAACATAAGTTGTCTCATTCATTCCTCATGAGAATTGTCATTATTATTGCCATGCTTCCATCTTTCAGACAAGGAAATTGAAGGTTTGAGGGGATAGGCACTGCCAAAGTCACACAACTAGTAAGGGTCAGAAATGGATTTAAACCCAATTTTATCTTTCACCACAGCGTGCATCTGTAAGCCCCAACACTGGCAGGGAAGCTTTGTGTAACTGTCCCTCGTTTTACTTCCTCCAGCGCAGGTCTTCCGGGTGGCTTATTTCGCTTTCTTCTTCCTGGAGAAAGCTCTACTGCAGCTTTTCCGGCGCTCTGCTTTCAGTGTTCTTGAGTGTGAGTCAGAAAGAGCTGGGTTCAATTTCATATCCACAATTCACAAGTGCTGTGAATTTCAGATTTTATATTTGTAAAACAGATATCAAAATATCAGTAGCACACAGTTGTTGTGGGGGATTAGGCGGGTGAATGGATGGCCAGTGTCCAGCATTGTGCCTGGGATATAACACGCACTAAGATATTGGTGTGCTATCTTTCCACACTTAACAGAAGCAGGAATGAATAGCAGTAACACAATCACAAACATGAGGAGTGCAAAAGGCTACTGTGACATTTTTCCTTTCAAAAAGGATAGTCTTTAATTTACTCCTACAGAGAATGATGGGAAAAGAATTAGATGGAGATCTAGTTTCAGGCCTGACATTTAGTAGCTATGTGACCTTGGGCCAAATCTTTTCATCTATGGCTATTAAATACCCCTCCTGACTACACAAAGGAGAGCAAGAATAATCAACAAAGCGCAGTGTGTGATAGCATATGTGCTAGCATAGGTTTGGAAGAGGACTATAGTCAAGGAAGGTTGTGATTATCGTGTCTAATTGT